CAGCGGTTCATTGACGGACTTTACCCAGCAGTCCGTCATAACATTGTGGGACACGGGACACAGACGTATGCGCGAGCAGTCTCTATCGCCCAGGAGGTTGACGCTAGCATCAGGAGAGAGGCCGTTCGTGATCGTGCTCAGCCATCCGCCCCAACTCAGCCATATGCAGTTCCACCAGCTTTACCACCTACCCAGCCGCCAAAGAACAACAAGAGGAAGGGGAAAGGTGCCCCGGCAGATAAGAGGACCCGACGGAGGCTGCAGGAGATTCCACCATGCCCGACTTGTGGTCGACTTCACAGGGGAGAGTGTCGTGCTGGACAGGACGTCTGTTACTTTTGCCAGGAGCCGGGACACTTTGCGAGCCGATGCCCGAAGAAACTCCAGCAGCAGCCTCAGCAGCCACCGCAGCAGCAGCAGCCACGACAGCAGGCACAAAGACCGCCACAGCAGCAGCAGCAGCAGAGGGGCAGGCAGCAGGCCAGGGTCTACGCGGTCGATCAGGTGGAGGCAGCACAGCAACCAGGTACTATGTCCGGGATGGTTGTTCTTAATGATATTCCTGTGTTTGCGTTATTCAATACCGGAGCAACGCACACCTTTATTTCACGACGGTGTCTCGACGCCATCGGAGTTCATGCAGTTACCGCTGTCGATCCTCTCGAGGTGAGTTTAGCCTCGGGACGAAAGATAGTGACCTCAGCCAAAGCTACAGATCTTAGCCTTTCTATCGGTGGTCGAGTATTGACTGCCGACGCGTTTGTTCTCGAGATGAAGGATTTCGATCTTATTCTCGGGATGGATTGGCTTTCTTTCTATCATGCTGACATCAGATGTCATGACCTTGAGATCATTCTCTATCTTCCGGAAGACGAGTCGATTACTTTCTTCGGCTCCAAGAACCGTTCACTGCCTCAGGTTGTTTCGATGGCGAAAGCCACTAAATTATTGCGACGAGGCAACTGCCAGGGTTACCTGGTAAGCCTTGTTGAGGATTCTCAGAAAGCGCGGACACCTCATGATGTTCCTATCGTTCGCGAGTTTGTTGACGTCTTCCCAGACGAGCATCCAGGAGGACCGCCCAACCGTCAGGTGGAGTTTTCCATTGATCTTATCCCAGGGGCTGGTCCAGTGTCCAAAGCCCCATATCGCATGGCGCCTAAGGAGCTACAGGAGCTTAAGACTCAGATTCAGGAGCTGTTACGACTCGGTTTCATCCGACCGAGTGTGTCACCGTGGGTAGCACCCGTTCTCTTTGTTAAGAAGAAGGACGGATCTATGCGTATGTGTATCGACTACCGGGATCTCAACCAGTTGACGATCAAGAATAAGTACCCGCTTCCCAGGATCGACGACTTATTCGATCAGTTGAGGGGAGCCTGTGTGTTCTCGAAGATCGACTTACGATCAGGCTACCATCAGCTGAAGATTAAGGAGTCAGACATCGCTAAGACCGCTTTCAGGACTCGTTACAGCCACTACGAGTTTGTAGTCATGCCTTTCGGTCTCAGCAATGCGCCAGAAGTGTTCATGGATCTCATGAACCGTATCTTTCATCCATACCTCGATCAGTTCATTATTGTCTTTATTGACGATATCCTTATCTACTCGAAGAGTCAGAAGGAGCATGAGGAGCATCTGAGGGTGGTTCTCGAAACCCTCAGACGAGAGAAGTTGTACGCCAAATTCTCCAAATGCGAGTTCTGGCTTCAGCGAGTATCTTTTCTGGGTCATGTTATTACCCAGGCAGGCATCGAGGTGGATCCTTCTAAAGTTTCAGCCGTGCAGAACTGGTCGACACCGAGGAGTCCGTCCGAGGTTCGCAGTTTTCTCAGATTAGTTGGTTACTATCGCAGGTTTATCGAGGGCTTCTCTAAGATTGCCCTCCCTCTTTCCCAGCTGACGAGGAAGACTGTGAAGTTCGAATGGACTGACAGATGTGAGGCGAGCTTCCAGGAGCACAAGAGGAGATTGACTACAGCACCGGTGTTGACTATCCCAGATCCTTCTCGGAGTTTCACTATCTATAGCGATGCTTCGAGGCAGGGCTTGGGATGTGTCCTT